CCCTGCCCCCTAAACCCCAACCCTGAACCCTCCTCCCCCGCACCCCAGACCCCAAAAAGCTTCAAAACCCTAAACCCTAAAACCCTAAACCCTAAACCCCTAAACCCTAAAACCCTAAAACCCTAAAACCCTCCCTAAACCAAGCCGTGTGGCGCAAGCCGCTAGCTTCTCCGCCTCGTCATGGAGGCCAATGGGCTTCAGGAGAGTCCTGGGCCGTCGAGATCAGAGTAGGCTAGGGTTTAGGGTTTAGGGTTTAGGGCTTATAGGGCTTATAGGGCTTATAGGGCTTATAGGGCTTAGGGCTTAGGGTTTAGGGGCGTTTTGGGGCTTTAGGAGATCAGTTTCGACTCATACACTCGCACAAGGCTGGCATGGCACAGAGTGTCGATCAGTTTAGGCTTTTCCGGGTTTAGGGCTTTAGGGGTTTATCAGAGGCTGCCTTCGGATGTTGACGCTTAAAAGAGGGCATTAATGTAGGGCCTGCAATAGGTAAACCGGGTTTGGGGGGGGGGCGTTCTTTCTACACCGTCCGTCCGGGAACCCTGAGGAGGATACTACTTTATGCAGACCCCAGTAGTAGGGCTAATGTAGGGGCCTCAACACTTCGAATAGGGTTCTGGGTCCCTTTGTCGTTTATTTACAATAAAGAACCCGAACAGTAGTGTCGGTAATTATTTAGGCTTCTATATTAGGGGGCTTACAGTAGATCAGAGTGTAGGTTCAGGACTTACAGAAATGGTTGGATTTAGGTCTGAGGGTTGAGGAATTAGAGTGCGCGGAGCTTTGGAGCTGTTTAAGGTTTAGGGCTCAGGATGCGCTAGGATTTCTGGATTATGCCCTCTAGCACAAGCTACAGTACCATCGTTTCATGACGCAGCCGAGAAGAAACTAGGACACCCTACGTGGCGAAGATTTATGCCTGCATGCAGTTTTGCTTGAACCTAGGACAAAAACCCTAAAGTGTAAACCCTAAAACCCCCAAAAACCCTAAAGCATAAACCCTCAAACCCCAAAGCCCTAAACCCTAAAATGCACGCACTACTTCTGCTTGTCACTGCTACTGCTACTGGCTGCCGCTAAATCAGTTCGTACAAACCTCTTTCTCTCGTTGGCTTTCCCGAGTGGAGGTGGTGTGCAGACGGATGAATGAGCATGGATGAATATCAACGGGTGGACGGCGGAGATGATGTTCGGTGCTACAGGCTGCTGCGCACGCTTTCGGGACACTGCTTCTGTAATCACTTTACTGTGACTGCTTTGCCTTCTGCTTCCTGCTGCCTCAGCCTATGCGTCCAGGGCTCAAGCTTAAGGTTAGGATTCAGGGCTATACTGTTCTAGGCTATTCATAAACAATTTAAGTTCAACTTGCGTGTAAGTTTCTAACCTTCGCGCAACACAAAAACGGACATTCGATGCTATCTAGTCCCGAAACCCTAGGCCCCCAAACTCTTAATGTGGATGTCATGTTCTTGTGCACCCTCCCGCGTGAGGCAGGGCTCGTCGCCGCGCTGAAGGCATTGGTCACCTGACAGGTGGATTTAGGGTTTAGGGTTTAAGATTTAGGGTTTAGGGCTTAGGGATGTAGGGTATAGGGTTCGGAGCATTATGGCCATGAGAAGTTGATGAGGGCGTACCCCCCCCCCCCCAGGAATGCCGAAATGTGACAGATGTAAGATCACATCTATCGGCGGCCTTCCACCGAAGATGCAACGCGTCATGTCGGAATACTGAGGAGTAACAGTTCTGATGATCGACGCTACAGAGACAGAGTGCAATATACCGAAACACTCAATGCTCTACTGATTCACGCCCCTATTCTATGGTGTGTCACCTCACCCTTGCGGCAAGGACTTCGGGTCATACACAAGCATCGACGGTAGTGAGCAAACGCGCCTAAGGCTCCTGGTTTGGGTCCATGTGGTTTGGTAGATTGGGCTACAGAATGTCCCCGGACACGAATGGACCCTGGCCACTGTCAGGCCGTGCTTTGTGCTCAAGAACTCCCAGCGGTACTAAGTTCAGAAGATCCTCTCAAGTTTCTATAGTGGCTCTAAAGCCCATCAAGTTTCTAAAGTGGCTCTAATGCCCGTCAAACACGTCGTAGTCATCGTAAGAAGCCCTAAGTACTCAATACCTTTGGCAATCCGATGCGGAAGGCACCTGTTCAGAGATGGTCTTGTAGAGCGGCATGAGCGAGCCCACGGTTTCGTCCGCGAGCTTCTTGACCCTGAGCGATTCAGGACATACCTGTTTCACCATGAATCCTGACCCGACAAAAGAGCCCCTGAAATCCCCAAGTCCGGTACGTAGACGTATTCTAGGCCCTAAACCTTTAAAACCGAAAGCCCCTTCAACGCCTAGCAAGGTAAGAACAAACCCCTAAACCGTAAACCGTAAAACCCTAAATTGAAAAGGAGTGCAAAGGCAGGGGAACCCCGGAAGGCTCACATCGCCTTTGACCTAGACGCCTGCTCTAGCACAAGGACCTTTTCACAGTAAGACATTGGGTTTGGGGGGGTATATTATATATTGATGCTGTTTATTTGTGTAGTAAGGGGCAGTAGTACTGAAGCTTCAGGCTAGGAGAAGTTTGAGAAGTCTGCTCCGTACGATGACTTGACCTTTGCATCTGAAGTTGACATTGGAGTTCCTGAAACTAGCCGGACCCTAAACCCTCATCCCAGGGGAATCCTTACCAAAAGCCCCTGGGAAACCTTACAAAAGACATCGAGATATATAGAAGGGAGTTGGAACATTGAGACAAAGCTTCAGGTGCTACTTTTCCCTGCGCCCCTACCGTAAAAATTGGACCATTCTTTCAAGGGCTTAAAGCCCTATACAGTGAATCTACGACAAGCCTTCTGTAAGGATTTAAGAACCCCTATCTATTTCGATACACTCCTGTTTCTGGCTTCTGCATGGCAGGATCGAAAGCCAACTCTGCAAATCTCGCGACAAAAATGGGACTTGAACTTTTGAAACTTTGTTTCAGGGTTAAGGGTGAGAAGAGAAGGATGAGCTGCGATCAGAAGTTCCTACAGCAGGTAAGTATCGGTGTAATTGGGGGGGGGTCCCCTGCAGAAGAGATTAATCGTTGAGAGCGTGCCCGACTGGTGCCTTCCTTCGGAATGTGCACTTCGAGCATCTAGCTACGTACCTAATCGTGATTTGTGTCAGAGCAATGGAGAGCATCACAATGCTGAAGAGTGCTGAACCAGGAAGGAGCTCATATGGGCTTAATTGCCCTGGCTCCAAACCCTCCAAGTTCATGGTCCAGAACCACTGCTCAGACATCAGAGCTGCAACCACGAAGAGGAAGGTGATTGCCATGATGGAGAGGTTGACCATTATGTCGCAAACGACAAAGGTGCGTCGGCGTTGCAGCAGGTATGACAGTCTGACCGTGGCCAAAACTACCACAGGCACCACGCCAAAGGTCCAGCCAAGACCTCTGACGAACTCGCGGATAGCTCCGAAAAGGGGCCTGTCGCCAATTCCAATGTAATGGTAGTGCATAGTCGCGGCTGAGTCCATGTAATGCCAGAGCATGGGAAGAGCTGAGACCGCGATCTGCTTGTATGTGAAAACCTCCCTGGATAGCTGGTCTTGAAGACATTGCAGAACATCGGTCCGCACGTGTGATTCGAACTGCTCGACACTGCCGAACCAAGTTGTGATGCACTGCAAAATGACTCGGCGATCGCAGACCATCTGGGTTCCAGCAGCAGATACATGACCCACACTGCAGCAGTGTGACATACCGTCGTTCACGACAAACTTGCCGATATCTTGCTCCAGCGCCTGCACATAACGAAAGTATGCTCGCAACTTGATGATGCTGAAGAAGAAGCCGATGAAAATAGACAGCCCGATTGACGGCCACAGAATGAAATACCGCAGGCGGTCTGGATCGGCCCCTGGAAACACGTTTTCGTCGGGGATGAAGCTCATCGCAAGCATCACAAACGATAAAGCGATCGGCAACGAGATGAAGCAAGGGCCCAACAAGGTTGGCCTGATGGTCAGCTTCACCTGTCTCCCATCGACCTGACGACTATGCAAAAATGCAGCCAGCTCAAAGACACACCAGAGCCGGCGGCTCCACGATGGATCCCACAAGATCACAAGAGAATCGGAGGCCCTCAGAAATGCACCCATGCTTGCCAGCCCGAGTGCCTTGCGTCTCGCGCTGCCCTGATCGATGCACAAGACATCCAGGAATATCTTCTGCCGCGGCATCCAGAAGAACAAAGCCACAAAGTACAACACCAAGCAAAGGACTTTGACCCAGTACGAATGGCTTGGATAAAATCGTATGCCTCTGACAAGCTGAAGAGTTGGCAGGATCCGAAAGGCATGAAGAAACATCACTAGAAACGAAACTGGGGCCGCCACCAGTGCTGCCATCATGCCATTGTTCACATATACAGCCGTCATAGCTTTGTTCCACTTCGGGCCGTGCCAACTGTGACTCCAAAACTGGTCTATCTTCGTGGTCTCGAAGCTAACACGGCGATGCGATGCTGATGCTCCTTTCTGAGCCCGAAAAATGTGGCCGAATCTCTTCACGGCCTGGTAAGCATGGACCGCCTGGATAATGTCTGGGCAAAACGCCGCCATTCTGGCAATCAGTTGGGCCAAATATACTTCGCCCGCCTCGGCACCGAGATTGGCCTGGACATCCTTCTCGGAAGACGTAGAGGAATGCTCACCCTCACTGCTTTCATGGCTGTTGCGACCATCAGCCGACGACTCCTCGCTGGCCATAACAGAGATCCTGTGTGGATCCGCTTCCTCTGTCACTGTGCAGGGCTGCACGAGCGAGGAAGCGGGAAAATTGACTTCAGCATGCGGCACAGCATCATCTAATGCAGGCACACGCTCGTCCGGAACAGCTGCCGAGAACTCGCAGGGCTGCTCATCTTCTGGCGGATGGGGCCGCATGTCTGCGAAGGAGAACTACCAGAGACCCGCAAAAACAACGCATGCGCTGCCCTTTACCTGGTACACTTCTCCCTTTTTCCACAGGCTTGAACTGAGCTCGCCCGGCCAAGTCCGCCGCAGTACACTTCTCCCTAAACCCTAAGCACAAACCCTACGCAACTAGACAACTGTTCGACTACCGGGTTGCCGGAAGATCTTGCCCACAGCTCCAAAGCTTACAGTTTAAAGGGATTGGCCATCTGCGCTGTTCCTGAGCCAAAGCCAGTTCAAGGCTTGGGGTTGGGTGGGTATATACAGTGGGCCACACCTCCGAATCGTCTACTTGGGAGCTGCCACGCTTGGTATCGACCCTAGATAGCCGCGCCCATGTTCTAAGACTCCGGAAACATCCCCTAAACCCTTTAAACCAAACTTTTGGAAACTCCAGCTGTGCCTCTGCCCGTCAACTTGCGATGCTCCTTCGGTGATACCCTAAGCCCTAAACATCCCTGAACCCTAACCCGCAAAACCCTAAACCCTCAATGTGCTTAGCAATTTATGGGCTCTGGCTGGCTTGGTGTTCGCAGGTCGCGGGGCCGAAAATACACACTGGCCTCCAGACTATTCTCCGACTCAGAGGCTTGAGTTTTGCGGGTTGAGGGTTGAGGGTTTAGTGGTTTTCGGGTTTAGGGTTGAGGGCTTAGTGGTTTAAAGTTTACGGTTGAGGGTTGAGCGGTTTCGGGCTCAGGGTTGAGGGTTGAGGGTTGAGTGGTTTCGGGTTTACGGTGTAGGACCAGTGTAGGGTTTAGGGTTGAAGGTTTAAAGGTTTCTTAGGCAGCAGCCCCGGACCCTGATCTCGATTGGCCTCGTGATGTTCTCGGCGATGGTGGCATTCATCTTCATTGCCACATGGAATACCTCAATGCTTTGATAGTTGGCATGCACCAAGCCCGCAAAAAAAAGAAGAAAAAAACAAAACAGCAAGCAAACACACCTAACACGTAAGAACCACCCCACACGCGCACACACACAGGTGCAAAACCAAAAATTCACGATGGGAACAAAACTAGCGGTAGTAGTAGCTCAGTAGCAGTAGCAGTCAGTAGCAGTAGCAGTAGCAGTAGCAGTAGCAGTAGCAGTAGCAGTAGCAGTAGCAGTAGCAGTAGCAGTAGCAGTAGCAGAAGTAGAAGTAGAAGTAGAAGTAGTATACAACAACAGTAGTAGTAGTAGTAGTAGTAGTAGTAGTAGTAGGTGGTAGTAGTAGTAGTAGTAGTAGTTGTAGTAGTAGTAGTAGTAGTAGTAGTAGGTGGTAGTATAGGTAGTATAGGTAGTATAGGTAGTAGTAGTAGTAGTAGTAGTAGTAGTAGCAGTAGCAGCAGTAGTCGGAACAGGAGCAGCAGCAACAACAACCAACAACCACAACCAAAACCACAACCACAACAACAGCAGCAACACCGGCAGCAGCGCCAGCCAGCAACAGCCACAACGACAGCGACAGAGACAGCAACAGCAAGAGCAAGAGCAGGAGTAACGGCAACAGCAACAACAACCACCACAACCACAACCACAACCACAACCATAACCAGGACGACCACGACGACCACGACCACGACCACGACCACGACCACGGAGACGACGACGACGACGACGACGACGACGGCAACTGCAGCAATGCCCAACAAAGAACTACGTATTGTAATTCGAGCATTAGTAATGATATGTAATGATAGCAATCGTAGTGATAACGATCATGAGCCGAAGAACAACTTATTAAATGAACGACCAACAAACGACAAACAAACCACCAACGAACAAACAAACAAACCTAACAAACAAACCTTACAAACAACAAAACACCAAACCTATCAAATAAACAAGCTAACAACAAAACAAACACACAAGCAAGCAAGCAAGCAAGCAAGCAAGCAAGCAAGCAAGCAGGCAGGCAGGCAGGCAGGCAGGCAGGCAGGCAGGCAGGCAGGCAGGCAGGCAGGCAAGCAAGCAAACACACAAACAAACAAGCACACACACACAAACAAGCACACAACCAAACACACACACACACACACAAAAAAAAAAAACATAATGAATAGGCATCAACAACCATGTAGCTGCATGTTCCCATATAGCTATTTGGTACCGACCGACAACGACAGATCACAAAATAGACTGCTGCCATGAAAACGGCAAAGACCCTCCCAAACCCTGATTTCAAACCTAAGCCTCTGTGCCCTCAAGCCCTTAGCCCCAAAACCCCCCCTTCTAAACCCTAAACCCTCACCCCCCCAGCCCCAAAACTCCTCAACACACTCCCGAGCCTCCAAGGAATCGTTGCACTTTGCCAGGAGGACCTTGATTCTCCCACCAAGGCCCCTCTAACGACAAAGGGTCCAGGGGTTTTGGGGCTTTAGAGGTTTAGGGTTCGGGGTTTTAAGGTTTTAAGGTTTAGGGTTTGGGGGGGTTTGGGGTTTTTTGGGGTTTTGTGGTTTAGGATTTAGGGGCTTGGGGGTCGGTTTATGGTATAGGGAGTTAAGGTTTGGGGGGGTTAGGCTTTCGGGACCTTGGCTCATATCATACTCATATCACATCCTTCCTTCCCTCGACTCATTGACCTTTTCAAATTTGGGGGTTTCCGAAAATAGGGGACCCTAATATAGTACCCTAACCTAAATAGTAGGATCCTTATTATAAGGACCCCAAAGAAGGTACCCTAATTTTCGGAAACTCCCATTTGTAAACGCTGCCAGGGTTTCAGGTTCACGGGAGCGTGGAGCCGACCTTCCTTTTCAGTTCTCATGTGGAAGCATGCAAGGGAAACAACAGTAGACCTAACCCCTTCGTCGTTCTAGACTTCTACAAACCCCAAATTGGTACTACTGGGTTTGGAGAACCCATCTACCACCCTACTGGTACAAAAATGCCCTCTACCCTACACCCCAAAAACCCGTACGTCTCCAAACCTTAACCTCGGAACAACTAAACCCCTAAAGGAACCCTTTAAGGAGACCCTTTAAAGAAAACCCCCCTGTTAAGGAACCCTTTAAGGAATCCCATAAAGGAACGCTCCAAAAAGGAGCCCCTAAAATTTCAAAGGAAGCCTTTAGAGGAGCCCCTAAAAAGGTTTTCGACTCTCACACTCGCACGCAGCAGGCAAGGCTTTTAGGGTTTAGGGTGTTGGGTTTAGGACCCTAAAGGAACCCCTTTAAAGGGTTTATGGCCTAGGGTTTAAGGTTTGGGGTTTAGGGCCCTAAAGGAACCCCTTTAAAGGGTTTATGGCCTAGGGTTCAAGCTTTGGGGTTTAGGGCCCTAAAGGAACCCCTTTAAAGGGTTTATGGCCTAGGGTTCAATTTTTGGGGCTTAGGGCCCTAAAATAACCCTTTACAAGGGGCAGAAATCTCAGCATCCGAGGCACCAGGACCTCATTGTCCGCCGCCTCGAGAGCATCGCCTGGACGTCAGAGACGGTTAGGGCGTGCTTTGCAGCGTACCCGACGCCCTAAACCGTTTTTCGTGTGTCCCTGTCTTGAGGGTTTAGGGTTCAGGGGTTGAGGGTTTAGGGGTTTCCTAGGCCCCTTCGGGCTTCTATATAGCGCGAGCGTTCGGATTTTGCTTGGGACTATTTAGGCTGCTTTGAAGGTCTCAGGGACTTTCGGAGGGCGCTCGCGGCTTAAGGATTCAAGGGCTTCCGGCTTTTGTAGGGGCTTTACTTGGAGGTTCATGGGTACTTATAAGTCGAGTTATAAGTAGGGTAACTATAGTTATAACCCAAATTAGCGGACTTATAACCCCACTTATAACTACCATGAACCTCCAGGTAGGGCTTCTGTGGCGGGTGGCGGGTCTGTAAGGCTTCTACACCGGGGATTTGGGGCCAGGGTTCAAGGCTTCAGGGCTTTACGGCTTCAGGGCTTGGGGCGTTTGGGGTTGGGGATTTGGGGTTCAGGGCTTGGGGCATTGCGGTTTAGGGTTTAGGGTTTGGTTGGGGATTTGGGGTACAGGGTTTGGGGCTTCGGGCTTCGGAAGGTTGCGGGTTCGAGGTTGAATGGTTTTGCAGCCGAAGGGTTGGGGTTTGGGTCAAAGGGAAGCAGGTCAAGGCCATGGCGTTTGGTGCCCAGAGCATGCAAGGTTTAACGTTCCGGCACGCAAAACACGAGTCCCACAGTTTGGCAGCCGGGCTAAGCGCTTAAGGCTGCTGGGTGCCTATTCCTTAGCCCCTCAAATCCTAGAGCCAGCAGAAGTCAAGCAGCCAAGCTGGTCGGTGACCTGATCGATGCCTTTGTTCGCAAAATCCGTGACCTGCCAAACACTGGCAACACTTCTGACGACCCAGCACTTGAAGGTTCATGGGTGGTTAGAAGCCGGTTTATAAGACCCCTAATCTGGGCTATAGTTATAGTTCCCTTACTTATTACTTATAGCCGCATTTATAACTACCCGTGGACCTCCGAGCAGGTAAGCCAAACGCACCACCACTCACAATCACACAACAAAAACACAGACAGAAATCGATCATGATAACATTCACCGTCGTCGACATCGTCGTAGCAATACTAGTAGTACTCCTACTGGTACGAGTCATGGTACTGGTACTAGCAATGGTACTGGGATTCGTACTGGTATTGGTACTGGTGCAAGTACTACTCCTACTACAACTACTACTGCTACGACTACTACTACTACTACTACTACTACTACGACGACGACTACTTCCACCACCTACTACTACCAACACTCTCCGACCATCTTCTTCCAAATACATAACCCTAAATCCTAAGCTGCAAGAACCGACGGAAGACGAAGGCCTGGTCGGCGATGTTACCCAAAGCATCCTCGCAAGGTCTTTTAATGGCTGAAGAGACGTGCTGGGTGGGGGGAGGGGTTGTCAAAACCTGGCGTTCCTTCATATAGTGTAGGAGTCCTTCGAATAGTCTTACTATGCAGGGTCCACATTCGGCTATTGTTTGAGGAGTCCTTCGAATAGTCTTACTGTGTCGAGTCTATATTAGGTTGTTATTTTGAGAA